CTTGAAAATTAGTGCAAGTATTGTGTTTTTGTGTTCCTCATACAATTCAGTGATTACATTACCGCGATCGTGTGCTGTTCTGGTGTTTCGTGTTGTTTCATCAAAGATTCGCATTTTTCACGATGGTGAGTAAATAGAGATTCTCTGTTTTTCCTCATATTTTCCTGTTTATTATATTCAACTTGATTACCTTAAATGTTTTCAAAATAAGAAACATCTGTTCGTTGAATACTTTCAAAATAATAATTCGAAACGAGCAAACCAGAAGAAAATAAGACGATTCGAAATATTTTCATGGAAAAATACCTTTTTCCTATACAGGGTGTTTCATATTTGAATGTACATACTAAACCTGTAGATAGAGGAAACTTTGGTGGTTCCAATCACTCCCTATGGATGTGTCTTCCATCTTTTACTCGATCTTTTATAATCAATATAATATACAGGGTATGTCACGACGAGTTTTCACTATCTTTATATCGAGAATCAGTCAGGAGAAATCCATGGAATTGTGCATGCTTATATTTCAGAATACGCTCTCTTCTACTAAAAAGTAGTAGCAACATTGATATTTCAAATGGAATAGCCTGTATTTCATCACATTTTTAGATTTTGCCTAGAGCTGATTTCATCAATGTATCACACGTGGGGTCTATCAGAAATGATTTCAGAGATATGGGGTGTTCAAATTCGAGATTTTTCAACTTTAGGATTTTTTTTGGGTCGAAACTATTCATTATCGGTCAAAACGGCTCACATGTATATATCTCAACTTTTGATTCATAATTTACTGATATTTAATCGGAACAGATACAGGGTGGTTCAAGATTCAGAATTCTGATCATCCTGATGTTTTAGTGTTTTTTAGGATTTCTGGAAATCCTATGTATAAAGTTTTATACGTCGTTTTTAATGGAAACAAATAACGAAAAATCTTCAAAATCATAACCCCTAAAGAATTGAGTACGCCACTGAATTATCCGCAAAATTCTCTGTTAGACGTCGTAGTATTCGTAGTAACTCAGCTCAACCTTATTTCTAATAACTTCGTAGAAAAGCCTGGCAGTCTAAACCAAAATGTACAGTTATATCTGAAACATCAGTTTTAATTCTCATGGACTTCCTGATATGTGATGTTTAGTTGCAGATCCGAAAAGCAAAGTATTTGATACTTGTCAATAATTTGGAGAAAACTATCCAATCCTCATGGACTTCCTGATATGTGATGTTTAGTGGAAGATCCGAAAAGCAGTGTTTGATACTTGTCAATAAATTGGAGAAAACCATCCAGTCAAGACGGACCGAACAGAAAATCCGCAAAGAGAACTGACCAGATGAGTATACTTTTCAGAATTCTGATCCTTATATTCGTACGGAATGCGATATATTGAATTCTTTTCCAGATTCTCAAGCAAACAGATAGACAGATATTTACCTTTATGTCTCTATGGAAACACGACAGGTACCCTTACGAGGGGAGAGTATCAACTCGGCGTTTATAAACCCTCTCTGCAAAGGAGGTCGGCGCATGGTGGGTTAGGTATATACAGTGTTTTTCATTGCAGAGAAAATCGTTGTTTATCTGCCTACCTCGTCTGCATTGAGAGAGTTGATGAATAATCATAAAAATATATCGCATTTCAGTTACGAATTTTGAAAACAATATTCAGACTTTATAGATTCATAACTCACGATTCAAGTTTCAAATTGATGCTCAGTTTTAGATCCGAGCAGCACACTGTTTGGCATTCATGGTCCTTATTACAACCCACGACATTCAAAATGCAGCAGATGTCTACTGGAAAAACCATAATTCGGAAGAAGAGCGAATATGAAGCAGTCCAGTTACGGTTGTTGGAAATATTATTCAGGTATGTTTCTGATTCAACATCAGTTTTAATTATCATGGACTTCCTGATATGTGATGTTTAGTTGCAGATCCCAAAAGCGAAGTCTTTGATACTTGTCAATATATTGGAGAAAACCATCCAGTCAAGACGGACCGAACAGAAAATCCGCAAAGAGAACTGACCAGATGAGTATACTTTTCAGAATTCTGATCCTTATATTCGTACGGAAGGCGATATATTGAATTCTTTTCCAGATTCTCAAGCAAACAGATAGACAGATATTCACCTTTATGTCTCTATGGAAACACGACAGGTACCCTTACGAGGGGAGAGTATCAACTCGGCGTTTATAAACCCTCTCTGCAAAGGAGGTCGGCGCATGGTGGGTTAGGTATATACAGTGTTTTTCATTGCAGAGAAAATCGTTGTTTATCTGCCTACCTCGTCTGCATTGAGAGAGTTGATGAATAATCATAAAAATATATCGCATTTCAGTTACGAATTTTGAAAACAATATTCAGACTTTATAGATTTATATCTCACGATTCAAGTTTCAAATTGATGCTCAGTTTTAGATCCGAGCAGCACACTGTTTGGCATTCATGGTCCTTATTACAACCCACGACATTCAAAATGCAGCAGATGTCTACTGGGAAAACCATAATTCGGAAGAAGAGCGAATATGAAGCAGTCCAGTTACGGTTGTTGGAAATATTATTTAGGTATGTTTCTGATTCAACATCAGTTTTAATTATCATGGACTTCCTGATATGTGATGTTTAGTTGCAGATCCCAAAAGCGAAGTGTTTGATACTTGTCAATATATTGGAGAAAACCATCCAGTCAAGACGGTCCGAACAGAAAATCCGCAAAGAGAACTGACCAGATGAGTATACTTTTCAGAATTCTGATCCTTATACGTACGGAAGGCGATATATTGAATTCTTTTCCAGATTCTCAAGCAAACAGATAGACAGATATTCACCTTTATGTCTCTATGGAAACACGGCAGGTACCCTTACGAGGGGAGAGTATCAACTCGGCGTTTATAAACCCTCTCTGCAAAGGAGGTCGGCGCATGGTGGGTTAGGTATATACAGTGTTTTTCATTGCAGAGAAAATCGTTGTTTAGCTGCCTACCTCGTCTGCATTGAGAGTTGATGAATAATCATAAAAATATATCGCATTCCAGTTACGAATGTTGAAAACAATATTCAGACTTTATAGATTTATATCTCACGATTCAAGTTTCAAATGGATGCTCAGTTTTAGATCCGAGCAGCACACTGTTTGGCATTCATGGTCCTTATTATAACCCACGAAATTCAAAATGCAGCAGATGTCTACTGGGAAAACCATAATTCGGAAGGAGAGCGAATATGAAGCAGTCCAGTTACGGTTGATGGAAATATTATTCAGGTATGTTTCTGATTCAACATCAGTTATAATTCTCATGGACTTCCTGATATGTGATGTTTAGTTGCAGATCCGAAAAGCGAAGTGTTTGATACTTGTCAATATATTGGAGAAAACCAACCAGTCAAGACGGACCGAACAGAAAATCCGCAAAGAGAACTGACCAGATGAGTATACTTTTCAGAATTCTGATCCTTATATTCGTACGGAAGGCGATATATTGAATTCCTTTCCAGATTCTCAAGCAAACAGATAGACAGATATTCACCTTTATGTCTCTATGGAAACACGACAGGTACCCTTACGAGGGGAGAGTATCAACTCGGCGTTTATAAACCCTCTCTGCAAAGGAGGTCGGCGCATGGTGGGTTAGGTATATACAGTGTTTTTCATTGCAGAGAAAATCGTTGTTTATCTGCCTACCTCGTCTGCATTGAGAGAGTTGATGAATAATCATAAAAATATATCGCATTTCAGTTACGAATGTTGAAAACAATATTCGAACTTTATAGATTTATATCTCACGATTCAAGTTTCAAATTGATGCTCAGTTTTAGATCCGAGCAGCACATGTTTGGCATTCACGGTCCTTATTATAACCCACGACATTCAAAATGCAGCAGATGTCTACTGGGAAAACCATAATTCGGAAGGAGAGCGAATATGAAGCAGTCCAGTTACGGTTGTTGGAAATATTATTCAGGTATGTTTCTGATTCAACATCAGTTTAAATTATCATGGACTTCCTGATATGTGATGTTTAGTTGCAGATCCGAAAAGCGAAGTGTTTGATACTTGTCAATATATTGGAGAAAACCATCCAGTCAAGACGGACCGAACAGAAAATCCGCAAAGAGAACTGACCAGATGAGTATACTTTTCAGAATTCTGATCCTTATATTCGTACGGAAGGCGATATATTGAAATCCTTTCCAGATTCTCAAGCAAACAGATAGACAGATATTCACCTTTATGTCTCTATGGAAACACGACAGGTACCCTTAAGAGGGGAGAGTATCAACTCGGCGTTTATAAACCCTCTCTGCAAAGGAGGTCGGCGCATGGTGGGTTAGGTATATACAGTGTTTTTCATTGCAGAGAAAATCGTTGTTTATCTGCCTACCTCGTCTGCATTGAGAGAGTTGATGAATAATCATAAAAATATATCGCATTTCAGTTACAAATGTTGAAAACGATATTCAGACTTTATAGATTTATATTCTATGTACGTCTCATGATTCAAGTTTCAAATTGATGCTCAGTTTCAGATCCCAACAGCACACTGTTTGGCATTAATGGTCCTTATTATATCCCACGAAATTCATAATGCAGCAGATGTCTACTGGGAAAACCACATTCATATTGCCCGAATTACAAAACAATCAGAACATCGATTGTACACAAAAATTTTAAGACAATATGTAAGGGCGGAATTCAGTCACACCTATCCTAACATAATAGTGACTGCTCTTCCATTCAACCCATCCCACCCCAATTGAGCTGTTTAATTATTACATAAACAAGAGATTTTTCTTAATGAATCCTGCTTTTATAAAACATTATTTTTGGATATGTTTACTTTAAAAAATATAACAACAAACTGGCTGGCTTCCTGAAAATTTGAAAATATCGCCGGAAGGTAAATTTTTGCATTTTTTCTTCATTGAACAGACTACTTTTTTTTCATTTGGAACGCCAATCTTGTGTTTTCTACTTTGTATACAGATTGCTTACTTGCTTGATCACTCCCTTCTCCAGCAAACTAGCCTTCTTCGCTGTCATAACGAAATAGTGCGTATCGTCCTTGTAATAAACGATATTCTCCAAATCGATCCTCGTCTCGGCCAGCAAATCCTTGAAAAACTTCTGATTGAATATAAACGCCACGCCGCTGATCTCTTCGACGCGCGCCTCCGCTTCGGTCCGCTTGTTGATGAAGTTGGCCGTGATCGCGATCGCCAACTTGCCGCGGAACTCCTTGCGCGAGAAGCCCTGCAAGGTGTTCCGTTTGCCGTCCGCCCCGATCACCACGTCGAATTCGTAGTGGGCGACCGGGTGGTCGGCCGGTTTGAATTCCGCCCTCCAACCGGTTTCTGGAAAAAGACAAGAATGTTATGTGAGGGCAGAAGCTCACGATTCTTAGAGTTTCTCAATGTATTTGACACTTTTGTTTTGATGTTTTTGTATATTATACGCTTGCCGTCCGCGCCTATCACCATGTCGAATTCGTAGTGGGCGACCGGGTGGTCGGGCGGTTTGAACTCTGCCCTATAACCGGTTTCTGGAAAAAAAGAGAAGAAGGTGGTGTCACGAGTAGAACATACGGTATATCAGTAATTTCGAACCATGAGGGTTTTATAAACATAAAGTAAATCAAATCATCCGTTGACATTGAATTATAAAAACTGACCAAGGAACTCTCATGAGAAACGTGCATATCTAATAAAATGATGTATATAAATATGGGATGTGAGGGTTCCGAAGTTAGTCTGGTCTGGGGCTACTCTTGACTTGACAAGAGCTCGTCGTAATGGTCGTTATAGGCTATATTCCGAATTCAACTGACAGTACTGAATCTGCTGATTTTTCATTCCAAAATCAAAAAATTCACTGAAAGTGACAGATGCTTGTGAGCAGACATACTATTCATTCCAAATATTTCGACTCAACATTCTGCTGAAATTGCTGACTATCGAAAGGTAGTGTGGCTTCAGTGAACTGTCATTATTTTAGAGGGGGAAGGAATGTAACATTCATTTCCGTTATTATGTTATTAATAATATATTATTCTCAATATCTGAAAATACCTGTTATTGAAATGATAAGCGCTGAGAATGATATTGAGTATGTAGTAGTAAAGATAACGAAAGAAGAAGCAGCATTGGCTAAATAAATAACTAAATAAACCTGAAATGTCTCTTAAATTCATCATCATTACGTTTTCTATAAATCTTTCAATTCTCAATCTCGTGCATCATTCGAAATTAATGGCAACAAAATGTCCAAGTATTCTTTATCACTCGAGCCTGAATCTGAATCGTCATCGTCAATAATCGTAGAAACTATGGAGGCTACAAGAATCGATTGCTCTTCCATGTTGAATATTAAATATTAAATATCTAGTCCAGATAAACGAGAAACTATAGACTGACAAATTTCACCAGCTGATCAAGTGCTGCTGACTACTGATGAAAACCATGAAAACGTGTCCCGAATTACAGCACTGTATTTTTGATTTTATATTTCGGAACACAGATTTTCAGCAGATTCAGTGGATCTACAGACAGTACTGACCAGTTGAATTCGGAATATAGCCATAATGTAAGTTGTTATTAGGTCTTTATATTCATTGTTGTTTATTCATAATTGTTATCGCTACCCATAATGTTTCATGCTATTATAAATATTGTTATGTTTGAATGTAGTCTCGTACTCTCAGTTACCCCTAAACTATTAGTGCCTATTTGAATATTACCTCTCGCAAACTATTAAGCCAAGCTAACCCTTATAAATCGATATGAATAGACTAACAATCTCTATCATATCGTGAGTGCAAAAGCTTACGGTTCCCCTCAAGCGTCTATTCAAATTTTTATTCACTTGTCTGAATCGAAATAAACGGTGAATATCTACAAATATTCATATTTAACTCCTATGAAACCATTCTGAAAATTTAAAAAGACTGGATTCATCTCCAACAGAAGACCGATGGATGAGAGGATATTATGATTATTGTTTATGTGTTCATGTTATCCTACCGATACTCTGAATAGCTATCGTCTATAAACGATGTTCTGATGAAAGCTTGTCGTTCGTTACCGACTGTCAAATCGGTAGTGAATTCGAATCAAGAAAATTCACTGACGACACGTAACGAGATACTGAATAGACCTGTTGAGAATCTTAAGGTAATTGACAGTTTTGTTTCGACGTTTTTGTATATTGCGCTTGCCGTCCGCCCGGATCACCACGTCGAAATCGTAGTGGGCAACCCGGTGTTCGCGTGGTTCAAACTCCGCCCTCCAACCGTTTTCTAAACAAAAGGAGAAGGTGGTGTGTGCAGAAGCTTACGGTTTTTAGAGTTTCTCAATGTAGTTGACACTTTTGTTTTGATGTTTTTGTATATTACGCTTGCCGTCCGCGCCTATCACCATGTCGAATTTGTAGTGGGCGACCGGGTGGTCGGGCGGTTTGAACTCCGCCCTCCAACCGGTTTCTGGAAAAAAAAGAGAAGAAGGTGGCGTGAGTGCAAAAGCTTACGGTTCCCCTCAAGCGTCTATTCAAATTTGTATTCACTTGTCTGAATCGAAATAAACGGTGAATATCTACAAATATTCATATTCAACTCCTCTGAAACCCTTCTGAAAATTTAAAAAGACTGGATTCATCTCCAACAGAAGACCGATGGATGAGAGGATATTATGATTATTGTTTTTGTGTTCATGTTATCCTACCGATACTCTGAGGCTATATTCCGAATTCAACTGGTCAGTACTGTAAGTTGACCCACTGACTCTGCTGAAAATCTGTGTTCCGAAATATAAAATCAAAAATTCACTACTGTAATTTGAGACACGTTTTCGTGGTTTTCATCAGTAGTAGTTTCTCGTTTATCTGAACTAGATGTTTAGCCTCCTACTTGTTATAAATTTTGGAAATTTAATATTTAACATGGAAGAGAAATCGATTCTTGTATCCTCTATAGTTTCTACGATTGTTGACGATGGCGATTCAAGCTCGAGTGATGAAGAATACTTGGACATTTTGTTGCCATAAATTTCTCATGATGCACCAGATTGAGAATTGAGATTCATGAAAATCGCAATATGCCTTAATAATGATGAATTTTAGGAGACATTACAGGTTTATTTAGTTTATTTAGCCAATGCTGCTCCTTTCCTTACCTGCTCTACTACTTCATACTCCAGGTATTTTCTGATATTGAGAATCGTTTCATTAATAACGGAAATGAATGTTACATTCCTTCCCCCTCTAAAATATGACAGTTCACTGAAGCCACACTACCTTTTGATACTCAGCAATTCCAGCAGAATGTTGAGCCGAAATATTTGGAATGAATAGTATGTCTGCTGACAAGCATCTGTCACTTCCAGTGAATTTTTTGATTTCGGAATGGAAAATCAGCAGATTCAGTACTGTCAGTTGAATTCGGAATATAGACTGAATAGCTATCGTCTATAAACGATGTTCTGATGACAGCTTGTCGTTCGCTACCGACTGTCAGATCGGTAGTGAATTCGAATCAAGAAAATTCACTGACGACACGTAACGAGATACTGAATAGGCCTGTTGAGAATTTTAAGGTAATTGACAGTTTTGTTTCGACGTTTTTGTATATTGCGCTTGCCGTCCGCCCGGATCAGCACGTCGAAATCGTAGTGGGCAACCTGGTGTTCGCGTGGTTCAAACTCCGCCCTCCAGCCGTTTTCTAAAATAAGGAGAAGGTGGTGTGTGCAGAAGCTTACGGTTTTTAGAGTTTCTCAATGTATTTGACACTTTTGTTTTGACGTTTTTGTATATTGCGCTTGCCGTCTGTCCCGATCACCACGTCGAATTCGTAGTGGGCGACCGGGTGGTCGGGCGGTTTGAACTCCGCCCTCCAACCGGTTTCTGAAAAAAAAAAAAAAAAAAAAAAGAGAAGAAGGTGGGGTGAGTGCGGAAATTATTGGTACTTAGAGAATCCTAATGTAATCGACACTTATGCACTTCTTATGCAAATTTCCCAAATATGAACGTTTCAGGCTTTGGTAAATTAGTTCACATTCTCTTTCTGTTATGTTTCACTGCAGATATGGGCATATTATTAGTGGGATTTTTCAATTATTGTCTCCTTATTTAATGAACTCACACAGACATATTTTTCTCATGAAACAAGGATTCAGTGAGGCAGCAGTAATGACACATCTCATTTTTTGAAAGAGTGACTTGAAATTAGGAGTTATGTTCTACTTATATCTGCCTGTTTTGGTGTATCAGGAATCTGAGACGAAAGGATCATTAGAATAAATATCAATTATTCTCTCTGTTTTTTTAGTAACTTTGTTTGAAATTAATTTCATTTTCGGCAAATTTCTCGTTCCATTTTCGTAATACAATACTGTTGTTTGTTATTAAATCTTCCAGTCTGAAGGGCACCTAATATGAATGCGACAAATAAAATTCTATATTCTACCAAATAAATTCAATACGTCGCAAATTTTGTTGGCTGAACTTATATTCCACGTTGGCCGCTTCATGTTTTATTTCCATTTCTGTAACAGTGTTCTATTTGATGCAAATTCGAATAAACTGAATTGATTCCCAGTATTTTCACAATTAGAAACAGCACTAACTTGCAAATTATTTAATTTGTTCTCAATTTGACAAACTTTTGAGATTGATGTCATGTACGTTAATGTATTGTCAGTTCCTGCTTTTTTATCTATCTGTTTGGGGTTATGTCTGACTATTGTCCGTACTCCAAATATACAAGAACGTCAGAACATGACTGTTAAATAACTGCAATGCCAACGATATTGATTCTAACCCAAGTTGGATCGCCTAATTAGGGTGGGCATTTTGTTCACTTTTTTCTATTTTGTCTAGTCCCCCAGACAAAATTGAATTAACAATACTACTTATCATTTTATTTCGCATTCTGTTGTTTTTAATCAATTACAAATGAGTAACATTGCTTTCAAATCATTTTGACCACAACAAAATAAATGTGTCCTGGGCAGACTAATTGGACAAAATTGTCCGTCTTGTCCTTAGTGAACAAAATTAAATCCACCCTGCCTACAACATGAATTTATTTTACAGGTCACCCTATTAAAACATGTACCGGGTGAACAACTAAGAACGGCATAATTCTTCCAACTTTGATAGTTAATATCTTCCGTTGGCGAGAAGCTATCATGTTGCGGTTTTCGTTGGTCTGATGAGATTTAGTTTCTCTATTACCTCGTGTAATGATATGCACACTATTAGATTTATTCTATCTCAAACTAGTATCATTATTCGTTGCTGAGATATGACCGACAGCCGTTCTTAGTTGTTCACACGGTACTCCTATAAGGTTTTTCTACTAAATTTGTTCGTTTGATTAATTTGAAATTTTCCGGTGTTCCTCCCCCACAACAAAGTGCGAATGTTCGTTTTCACTAGCCTATTTGCATCACAGTGATAATCGAACGAAAATAAAATTGGAATTGGTCCAATCGAGTGAGAAATAAACATTTTAGAAATACAGATTGCCGTGTAATGTGTCTGTTAATTTCGAACATGATAATATTTACTGAGAAAATCGATACATATCCACTTGGAAATTTCCTATTGATAAATCACACTCAGAGATTGACAGGAAATTGAAGTTAAAAACACTCATGAATATTGAGCCAATAACACTATGAGAAGTGTGTTTTCAATTTGGAGAATAAAAGGGTTCAATTATTGAAATTATGTACGATTGATAAATATTTATACACCATGGTATTTGAGAAAATCATCATTACCAAAAGACCAACATCTTCACAATACCATGCTTTATATTTTATTTTTTCCATCACTAGCAATGTTTTTCAATCATTATAGTTCCATAGAACTGAGAAAAGTGCACTGTCATTCTTGTAGAAATTTTGAATAACGATTCAAAAATGTAATTTATTTTATTTTAGCACAAGGATCAGTTTTGGGCCCCATATTATTTCTAGTAAAAGTAGGTATCTGGATATTTGCATTTTCAGTTTTCTTGCATTCTTCTGAAGATATTTGTAGAACTCTTAGGTGATAATTGTGAGTTTTTCCCTGTTTCTTTTATTCTTTCACTAATATTAATTTGAAAGAGATCAACAAGACATCATTATCAGGATGATATTTTACTGGTGTACAATCAACATTTATATTCATCTTTACACATTTAGGTTATAATTTGTGAAAGTATCATCAGTAAATGGACTTGATAGTGTAGTAGGTAGCAAGTTCATATACTTCCATATCAAGTCAATTCATTTCATATTCTCAATAGGCAAACCATTTTGAATAACAGTAACACTGTTATTATTAAAAATATAATAGTTCTAGATAGCGTTGGTTTACTAAAAAATGTCAATAACTTATTTGTTTCAACTGAATATAGACAATTTTAGGTTGAAGTTTTCAACTTCTATTTCTTGAAAATCGTTTATAACCAGAAATAGAGATTGTTAATTGCTTCAATTAACTATAACAACATAATAAATTATTTTTTGCAAAAAGCAGATATAATATCTATGACCAAGAAAACAATAATACATTATACATCAAGGGAAAGAAATGCAAGATTTTTTCCAAGGTGCGATACAAAGCACCGTGAGAAAAATCGCATTCTGTCCGGAAGTACATACTATTTTTTACGCTGGCGAAAACACAAAAATTAAGAAAGAATAAAAATGTGGTCAAAATGTTTTGTCATTATTAGTAGTAGTATAGTTTGTGGAATTCGTATTTTGACAACATGCATCTTGTTGACAACCCATGGTGACAGCAAATATCAAACTGAAATTTATGAAAACAGCTTTGAAAATGGTTAACGATTATGGAACAAGAAATCGAGGAAAAACGTCAAGAAACTATTGATACTGCTTCTGCAATGATTCTTAACTTGCTACCAGTGAGATCTAGAAATCTGTATGATGCCGCTTATACTCGCTTCAGAGAAGGGTGTTCCGAAAAGAACGCGCAGAGCTATGCGGAAAATGTAAAGTTGGTATAAACTCCCTAGGGGGAAAATATGGTTTATTGTCTCCCAAGGGAATTCTGCCCCTCTTTTGTTCCCAGTGAAATGAACTTCTACTCCCGCCGGCGTAAAAATTGAGTTTTACCTCCTTGCAATTACAAACATCCTCATTTCAGAATGTGAAGTTATCAATTTTGTTTCAATAGTTTTAATCATTATTCTGGCATATGTTTTCATTAATGTTGCCACATGTTCTATGATTCTATGTTCTATGTCAACAACGTGTTTGTCATAATTGTCAATCATGTCATGTCAATGTCAAGTGATTTAAGAAAAGCGCGGCGTAACGAAAAGGTATGTTTTTCTGCAACCGACACAAAAGTCGTCCATTTTGATACCAAAATTAGCTCTTAAATTGACGTTTCTATTACTGACACAAAAATAGGTATGTTGCTAGGCAACGTCTCAACCCAAATAACCAACCGTCACAATGTTGTTTATTTTTGATGACGTCCAGTAGATCCTTTTTAGTTCCTAGGAGCTAAAGTTCAACTTTAGCTCCTAGGAACTAAAAAGGATCTACTGGACGTCATCAAAAATAAACAACATTGTGACGGTTGGTTATTTGGGTTGAGACGCATACCTGATTTGTTTCCGATTTCAGCAGATTTGGCGTATTTCATACCCATGCGTAAGATATAAATACACCTTATTATAGTTTCAGTATTGGAATTATGAACATCTCAGCTGAGTATTTTTGTTTTGATCAGGGAAGCCTTCAAGATTCAAATACTTGCTTGATCTGTATTTCATTCGTTATTCTCGGGATGGATAACTCGTTTTTGAATAATCACGGCAAGCAATAGTTTTTTTGTCTCAAACAACGATATTGTTTAGCTTCATTTCATTATCGAGTCAAACACAGTGTAGTTTGAAGAGGAATAAATAATCACTATTATCATTGTTTATATGCTCACTAACCTAACATATTCCACGTCTTGTTCCTATACCTGGCACTGACGCGGTATTTGCCATTAGAGCACCTGGTCCATACACAAATATGTCACTCTGTGGTTGTATTTATATTGGAACTATTATTCCAACATCCTTGAAAATCGAATAAACCTGCTGTTAATGCAGGTAGAATATTCTCACCGCACGGATTATTTGTTGCATTGCATACATATGGCACGGCATTGCTGGTTACTTCACATATTTATTTGAGTTAATTGTTTCGGTTGCAGAAAAAATAGCATGTTTCATTCGGATGAAAAGTGACTTTGTTTGACTCGCAAATTTCACTTTCGCTCGGCTTCGCTAACAATCTACTATTTTTTTCACTTCCATCACAAAAAAAGTCGATAGATATAACAAAAACGTACTCACTCTCTATTGCACTAGGTTCGATGAGCTTCTCGAAACCGACTTCGGTATGCACTTCGACTCCAAGAAGTAAGGCGACTTTGAGTAGAATACATTGCAGCTGTCTTATGCTGATGTGATCGATGGCTCCGGCACAAAATTTTCCGAAAAATTTCTTGGCACCGAGCATCCGCAAGTCCTCAATAACGAAGGGCCACAGATGCAACACATTGTTTCTCGAGAACCTGTCTCTCTTCTCTATTACTACCTGAAATACAAAAAAAATCATCAATTTACCATGTTTCAAGGGAAAGTATAGTAGATTGTAGATGGGTCGTATAGGCTGAGAGACCTCTCGATCACTGCGACCTAGAAGATCTGTGATTACCCCTATCTAGTTTTGGTCCTCTAACCCTAGACTTCTGATGAAGCCTACGATTTTCCTGACGGTTGACTTTTCCACTTCAGCAGGGGTGAGATAGACCTGTTCTAGGTGGTTCAGCCTTTGGCGGACTAATACTTCACATGAGCAAAGTATGCGTATGCGCGGTTTCGGTCGCATTGGTACAAAAGCGGCAAGTGTCAGTCTCCGCCAGACCCATGTTTTTGAGGTGGTACCTCCGAGGGCCGTGTCCTGTGAGGAAGCCTGTCATAAGCTTTAGCTCTGGTTTGCTGAGGCTGAGTAGCTCTTTGGCTCGGTTCTGCGAATGGTTGATGAACCTTTTCGCTTGTCGTTGACCTGGAGTTGCTCTCCAGTAGGAGGACTTTTCAATTTCTTCCTATTTCCCGAGTTCTCCCTTTAGGTGACATTTGCTTATCCCACAAAAAGGCTCAGGACCAAAAAGTGCAGATGCTGCACCTTTTTTTGCAAGGCGATCAGCTGCCTCATTTCCTTTGATTCCTTCATGCCCTGGAACCCACATAAGTGTGACTTTGTTGCCCTTTCCCAGTTGCATGAGTGTTTCAAAGCAGTCCCATGTAATCTTTGATGTGAAAACGAATGATTTTAGGGCTTTTAGTGCGGCTTGGCTGTCTGAGCAGATATATATGTTGGCACCCCTCAGACCTTTGCTCAGGCACCCAGTATAGTAGGAGAGACGGCTGCAGATTTCTACCGTCATTGAAGTTGATTTATTCACACAGGCATTACCCCAGTCAACAAATATGTAAGCTTCTCAGTGAATCATTAGTCTTTTCTAGGTTCAATAATTATGGTGATATTGTCTACGGTGATTTGCTTACCAAATTAGACCAGAATCGTATTCAAAGGGTTCAAAACTTTTGTTGTCGTTTCATTTTCTCACTTAGAAAATACGATCATGTCTCTAACAAAATAATGGAACTGAAGTGGCTCTCAATGTTCAATCGTAGGAAATATAATTTTTGCCTCTCTTATACAAATTATTAAAGTGTGAAGTTCCTTCGGCCCTCTATTGCCTTCCCTCCATTCGTTGGAACTAAGAAATAAACCTAACCTGAATATACCTCGTCATCGTTCAGCCATGTTTCGGAAATCTTCCACCTATCAAGCCGTTAAGTTTTATAACTCGATTCTTATTCATCACACTCACTTATCGAAGTATGAAGTGAAAAAAATATTGAAAGCCAAATTTTTCGAAGGTCCATACTAATCCCAAATTAGAAATTATTTGATATAATATGTATACAGGGTGTTTAAAAAAAAAACTAACCCCCTTGCTAGGGTAGGTAGAACATTGCAAAATAAGTTGGGTTTGCTCAGTGAAAAAATGTCGTAACGGCGTCAGTTTTCATGATACAAGGTGTTGAAACAATATTTTTTTCACACATTTTTTATACGATTATGTTGAAACTACTGTCAACATTGTGATGAAATTTTGTATGGATGTTTCTTGGAATGTGACACATCGCATGCATTTGTTTTTATATCGTTTTCGGAATATTTCGATTTGAAAATGATGAAGTGGTAACTGTTGCTGGTATAAAGCTATGTACTAGAGTGAGTATTATGAAAAATTATCACCTATTTATTGAAAACCGAAAACAACAATATATTTCTGATGCAAAACTCATTGATTTAACAATAAATCACAAGAATAACATCGAAACAGATTTGACTAAGAACATGGATTACACAGTTTTGTTGTATCTTGAGCAGGAAGTCTATGCTACATAGGTAAATTCACGTCAAGAGTTGTGAGACATAATTGAACATCACTTATAGTAGAAGATCCGAACCTAAATCGACCTTCACCAAGCTGATAATAGAACGAAATATATTTTATCATGAATTTAGTATATTAGAAAACATATTAAAAATGGGTTCGCTAAAAAAATCCTGGGCAGACTATTTTTAATTATTTTCCGAAAAATGATTTTTAATTAAATGTTGCAACATCAGGATAATAAAAAAAATTTGTCCTGACTGAAAGTATAAAACGTATAGAATGTGCAGCCGTTGGGTTGTCTACTATTTACCTGGGCGAACTACTGGGTTGTCAGGTAAACACAGGTATATCGATGCCAGTTACTTTCACTGGATTGGATAATTAAAAAAAAATTATATCATCATAAGCGCTGTTTAATTGCGAACACGTTGATATAGGGTTGTCTGCGAAAATTCCGGTCCTATTAGGGGTTTGCGAATTTTGAAGATTTCAATTTAAACGCGCGTGGAAGTGTGTGACAGAGAGATCCGAGGTAAGTATACTGTGTAATAATAAAGGACCCAACATCGCAGTCGCTTGTGATGGGACCCTGAATAGTAGAAAGTGCGCATGCTCGGTGTGTAAACTATGGAGGGTAGAGGTACCTCTTACTACCCTTCATATAGTAAACAGTGCGTGTTATTTTGGAGCAACTGATATTTCAGTAGCAAAAAAAAAAATTTATTAATTACATAATAATTAAATATATTCAATATAATACTAATATATAAAAACAATATAATATCAATATATTGCGTTATAACCATAATAATATATCTATAATCTATAATAGACAATAAAAATATCAATTACTTACTTTGAAAGCATGCGCACTTTCTACTATTCAGGGTCCCATCACAAGCGACTGCGATGTTGGGTCCTTTATTATTACACAGTATACTTACCTCGGATCTCTCTGTCACACACTTCCACGCGCGTTGAAATTAAAATCTTTAAAATTCGCAAACCCCTAATAGGACCGGAATTTTCGCAGACAACCCTATATCAACGTGTTCGCAATTAAACAGCGCTTATGATAATATAATTTTTTTTTTAATTATCCAATCCAGTGAAAGTAACTGGCATCGATATACCTGTGTTTATCTGACAACCCAGTAGTTCGCCCAGGTAAATAGTAGACAACCCAACGGCTGCACATTCTATACGTTTTATACTTTCAGTCAGGACAAATTTTTTTTTATTATAGTGATGTTGCAACATTTAATTAAAAATCATTTTTCGAAAAATGATTAAAAATAGTCTGCCCAGGATTTTTTTAGCGAACCCATTTTTAATATGTTTTCTAATATACTAAATTCATGATAATAGTTATTTTTGTACCTAGAGCGCGAAATGCTACTTTGGTGATCGAGATCTGATTTTTTTAACGAGGCGTAGCCGAGTTAAAAAAATAGTCGAGATGACCAAAGTCTTTCGCGCTCGAGTTGCAAACAAAATTTTTTCTACAAACGTCAAAAAATATAGTTCTAAAGTGAAAATATGCTTGGCTTGATATAAAAAATAGTGTTGAACTGGCTTAAAAGGTCTCCCCCTATCCTCCCTAGGTACGCACGATGTTCCACGAACATTATAGGAATTTCCTTTCGTGCGCTCCAAGAGAAAAAACAAAGTTATTGTTGAACATTCAGAAATAAATGATTTTGTGGATGTCTGCTCAATTGGGGACCATAAAGTTGAAATATAAATATCTCATATATTTTTTATAACAATGCGCGAAGTAGGTACTTCGCGCACTGTTTTACTTCGCGCATTGTTTTGTGCAAGGAATCATGGTAACGTAGGAAACTGAAAAAAGTGTCACTTCGTAATTTGTTATCAATGCGCGAACCTTGTCATTTTTTGACGTTTGTAGAAAAAATATATTTCGTTCTATTATCAGCTCGGTGAAGGTCGATTTAGGTTCGGATCTTAGACTATTAAATGACCTAACAGCTGATCCTCAACTGTTCAGAAGAATGATACATTCTTAAAAAAAGTATAGGATCGTGTATTAGTTTGCTTCTGGCTTTATCAGAATTCAATCGAATTTGGATTTCTTAATGCCATTCCAAAGCTAAATAGCTGTATTACACAGTGGAACACCTGAAAATTTCATAATTGAAAAAAAAAAACGAAATGGTGGAGTAACCCTTACTTTCGTGATTTACAAAAACCGCTAGCCAATAGAAAAATCAAACTCATGAACCGACTCACCACTTTGGCCCCCAACAGCTGCGCCTCGATGGCCGTCCTTAGACCGCACGGCCCCCCGCCCACGATCAAGACTCGCGCCCCCGCCGCCGCCCTGCCCTTCTGGTAGCACTTGTGCGCCGCCCTGGCGTCGAACTTCTTCCACAGCGCCTTGGCGCGCCACGACGTCAGGTTGGCGCGCAGCTTGGAGTAGAAGAGCGAAACGACGTTCGGCTTGAGGTGGAGGTAGTCGATGAGGCCCCTGAAATAGACGGGGAATAATTTTCGAAACGAGGTGTCACTGACTATCGATTGAATTTTTCTTTTAGGCCCTCTATGATACAAAAACTTTCAAACGCAGTGACATTTTGGGCAAATCATCTCCTTACTACACTTATTTTGGATATTTTTCAAAACGAGGTGTCACTGACCTTCGATCGAATTTTTTTTCTAGGCCCTCTGATACGAAAACTTTTAAACGCAGTGACATATTGGTCAAATCATTTTTCATTTCATTTATTTATACTGCTAAAACAACAGGCTTCAGCCCAATTACAGAATAACAGTTTTATCACATACAGTACACATACAGTACACACTTGAAATTACTTCCGAAATTACCTAAAAAAATTAAAAACAAAGAAAGATTCACAACACAGTCCACTAACATGGTCACGTTAATTATTTTAAAAAGTAGAAAATATACAATTAAGTAGATAATAATTAATAATTAGCAACAGTGCCTTTTATTCTGCTACTACTAGAAATGAAAATGTCAGTATCCCAGCAGTTAATATGCTCATTTACAGATTTCTGGCATCTTACAAAAGGTGAGCAGGATGACACATCTATATAAAAAATATGATTTCGCTTACGTAATCTTACTTCAGGTACATGTAGTTTTATTGCAAAGAGTAAATCAGGTACATTTAGCTTATCATTAACTATGTCTGATACAAACAGCACATCCGCGATATTTCTCCGGAGCTGTAGTGTGTTTTGATTCAATTCTTCATCAGTTGAGTCATCAGATAGTTGAGTTTTGTATGAAATCATTAAAGTGGATACTAGATATTTCCTGTAATAAAGACTCCTCATGAACTTTTTTTGTACCTTCTCAGTCATTTCTAAATGAACAATGGTATGTGGATTCCAGATGACTGAAGCATATTCTAATTTTGGTCTTACGAAGGCATTGTATAAAAGTATTGCGATATTAGAGTTAAACTGGTATGAATTCCTTAGAACAAAACTTAAATTTCTCAGGCTATCATTTACAATTTTTGCAATAAGTGTATTAAAGCTAAATTTTCTATCAAAAACTACTCCTAGATCCTTGAATTTTTCTACTTTTTCCAATTTAGTCTCATTCACCCAGTATTCTGTCTCAATAGGATTTTTCTTACGGCTGAATGATATATATTTACATTTGTTCTCATTTAATGACAGTTCATTCAGCTCACAGAAAGTGGCAATCCTATTGAGATCTTGTTGAAGTAAAAGTCTGTCACTGTCATCCCTGATTACTCTGTATAGCTTCAGGTCATCAGCATAAAGTAAGTATTTTGATGTTATATATTCACCGATATCGTTCACAAACAAAATAAAGAGTAATGGACCTAGTATGGACCCTTGGGGTACACCTGATGATGCAGTGAATACTTCTGATTTTTCTTTATTGAATTGAACAAATTGGGATCTATCAGACAGGTATGACCAGACTAATGATATGAGATTCTCATGTATAGAGAGTTTTCTAAGTTTATTTACTAATGTTTTATGATTCACTTTATCAAAAGCCTTTGTCAAATCAGTGTAAATGGTGTCCACTTGTATTGTAGCGAAATCTTATTATATAGTTACCTTTCTTGGGAATTCCGATTGGATACCTACTTATAGCAATAATGGATAGATGTCCGTGTCTGTCTGTCAACTACAAATAAATAATTATATTTTCAATGGTTTTTACTGTTTCGAACAAAAAAGACTTGCCCGGTTAAACATTCCAGCACTTTATACTTGGCTAACAAATGTCCGGCTGAAATTATTAGGTGCGTTGTGAATTCGAAAATTCTTCGTGCACATTACCTGTTTTAGGTGAGTACTTTTTGCAATTAATCCCCTGAATGATGTTTCATCATATTGATAGTTAGTAAAGGTGTTTTCGTTTTTTAGTCGGATCGTTGTTACCACCATACTCAACCCGTAGAGTGAATAAATTGTCGAGAGCCATTGACTTAAGTGTTATTTTTGTGTACGAAAATCTACCCACCCCGTTACAACTTGGCGACCAACGAGTGGCACAAAAAACTTCAGTAAAATGGCACCACCCAAAAAAGACAATACAATAAGAAGTCCGATAAACTTAAGAGATAGGAATATACCGCATGGGGTTTATAGTGGACTTCCCCGCACACCAATCGTGGAAAACCCACCAGTGACTAATAATATGGAAGATCACAGCAGGGACAGTAGTACCAAAACACTATTCCCTGAAGACCATGCAAAGTTTGGAAATGGTTCGGGAGCAATTCCAAAGGAGCAGACCCCATTTATACCGGGAGAAAATGTTAACCAGGGAACACAATCAACTTCAGCAGCCCGAGGATTTCCCCCGTACCCAGAGAGGTATATTCCTACCCCAAGAACATCATCATCAAGTCGAGGTAGGAGCTTTCCAAATAATTTTAACCAACCTCAAAGCTATGCTGCTAATTCAAGATTTCCTAGTCAACCAATCCCTAATACCGAGGATGATCTAATACGACTTATTCAAAACACAGTATTGAATACATTAAACCATCAGAGTCATCTTGGACTACAAAATAATTATAATGTTTCCAATGAGGTGAAATTTGTAAATGTAGATATTTTACCAGAGTTTGATGGTGGTGACAACGTACACCCCGTAGATTTCGTGAATCAAATTCAGGTTTTAATGGAATCAAATAACGTCAATTTCAATCAAATAAAACTGTTCCTCCCGAAAAAGTTTACTGGGAAATCAAAATCTTGGTGCGAAGCATTTTTGAATTCTTTCACACATTTTGACATATTCAAAATGTCATTTTTGAATCATTTTTGGAATGAAATGAAACAATTACATATCAGACTCAAAATTGAATCTGGGAGATATGTAAGTGGGTCATACGTTGAACATTTCACAAAAAATGTGGCGATGGCACGTCATCTTAACCCCCCGTTTGGGGATGTAACATTGATTAGTTTGATTTCGAGACATTTTCCCCCTACTATATCTAGTACTCTCATTGGTGTTATAAATTTTACGGATGCTATAAATAGGCTCCAGCAAGCCGATTATTATAACAGATTGGATACAAATACGCCATCAGCGGTTTTACCATCCAACAGTTCTGCAGAACACAAAATGTTTAGGTCCAACGAAAAAAAATATAATTATTCGCCTAATAGACCCCAACAATTTCAAAGCAAAAACATATCGGCAGTTAATTTTATACCCGAAAGCGAAAATGAAGAATATAATAGTCCGGGAAACGCGGAAAACGGCAATCAGGAAGCCCACTGATTGCTATAAACATGAAGAGGGCAGCGGTCATCAATAACAATAATCCCATAGATGACCTTCTAAACGAACATTGCGAATTTCAACATGATGTTTGTCATAAAAAATCGTTTGTCATAAAAATTGAAATTTTTGGGTTTGAATTTCCTGCTTTACTAGATACAGGTTCAGAAGTTACTTGTTTATCCGGGGACGTTTATTCTCAACTGAATAATCACCACTCGGAAATACCTATTTTTCCAGTTACAGGTGTTCGTATTACAGGGGCTTTTCGAACTAAACAGCGTAGAGTAACCCATCAACTGTTTTTGACATTCCTAGTGAACAAAGACCATTCATTTAGTCACGAATTTCTTATAATAAATGACCTAGTGTTTCCAATCATTTAAGGAATTGATTTTTTAAAGAGTTTCAATGCAATAATTGATCTAGACAATACAGTTTTGCGATTGGTGGATAATGAAAGAAATCTTATTGAAGTTAAGGATATTCATACTGAACATGAATATAAAGCTCCTGAGGAAATTTTGGACTTAAAACTTGTCGCAGTAAAAACGGACAATATTATTCAAAGGACGGTTAATCCTAATTTCAATTTAAATTTCATATATGACCTTGACCATATTAATACCGAGCAAAAACAAGCTTTAAAATGTTTGCTTTCGAGATACAAGACTGTTTTTTCGGATATTCCGGGCCGTACAAATTGGTACACTCATAAAATAAACTTGCTTGATGATTCACCGTTCAAGAAAAAACAGTATCCTATACCATTCGCTCACAGGGAAGCCGTATTCAAGGAGATTGCTAAAATGGAGTCTTGGGGAGTAATCGAAAGGGCGTCGACACCGTACATAAGCCCTTTGGTGGTGAATGTGAAAAAAGATGGTTCGGTGCGTGTTTGTTTGGACGCGAGACATTTGAACAAATCGTTAGAGCCAGATTACGAGTTACCTCGACCGATTGATGAAATTCTCAAGTCTCTTTCAGGCGCGCCCTTCAAAACGCTATTGGACCTATCATCGGGGTATTGGCAAATTCCTTTACGGGAAGAGGACAAAAAGTATACCGGATTCTTGGTAGGAACCAGAAGTTATCAGTTCACAGTACTTCCTTTCGGACTTAGTACAGCCGTGTCGTCGTTTTCCAGGGCCGTCTCGAAAATTTTTAGTACCGACTTTGATGATTTTGCCATAGCGTATCTTGATGATATTTTAGTGTTTTCCAAAACTTTTTCTGATCACTTAGAACATTTAAATGCTGTTTTGGGAAGAATACAAATGGCAGGGTTAACTTTGAAATTCCGAAAATGTCGATTTATACCTAGAAAGTTGAACTATTTAGGGTACATTTTAGACCCAGAAGGTATCGAACCAGATCCAGAGCGAATAGAAACGGTTAAAAACTTCCCAGTCCCTCAAAATATCAAGTCGTTACAAGCGTTCTTAGGATTGTGTAATTATGATCGTGCATTTTGCGAAAACTTCTCAAGATTGGCGGAGCCTCTTATTCGATTGTTGAGAAAAAAAACTAAGTGGTGTTGGGGTTCGGAACAGGTGACCGCTTTCGAAAGTATAAAAGCTCTACTAGAAAGGACAACACTGCTGTTTCACCCAGATTTCAACCAACAATTTTTCGTTCAAACTGATGCTAGTCAATACGCTGTAGGAGCGCAACTTTATCAGATGATCGATGGAAATCGAAGAGTCATTGCTTATGCGAGCAGATTATTATTAAATAGGGAACAATTCTACTCTTCAAATGAAAAAGAAATTTTGGCTGTAACCTGGGCTCTACAGAAGTGGCGTACTTTCTTGTTAGGAAGGCATTTCACAATTCTAACCGATAACAGAGCTTTAAGCTACATTCAGACCTGCCGTCTATTGACACCTCGGGTGACGCGATGGGCTCTAGCACTACAAGAGTTTAGTTTTACTATCAAGTATATAAAGGGATCGGAAAATGTCGTTGCTGACGCACTGTCCAGGTATCCCGGTGTGCGGCATTCCGTCCCGGATAGTAGATGTTTCAAGTTATTTTCTATAGACTTATCAAAACAGTTCAAAGATAAAATGAAAAAAGTATCTATACTGCAAGCTTCTGACCCTATTCTCGGCCCTATAATAACAGCTTTGTCACAAAACGAGTCTTCCAAGTGTCATTCCAAATTCATTTTGTTCGAGGATCGTTTGTATCATAGACAGTCCGACGAGGAACCTTACGGATTGTGTATACTGATTGATTGTGAACTGATTAACGAATGTATATCGACTTATCATGAAAGACTAGGACATTCCGGTGTATACAAGACTTGGGTGGTACTCAAAAGAGATTTCTGGTGGCGTAACATGTTCAAATCCATTAAACAAGGGATAAAATCATGTGACATATGTCAGAAGGCGAAGGTCTCTATTTTGCCGAGTCCATCCCTGTTTCCTATACTCCCAAACCGTATAAAAGAGGTAATATCCCTTGATTTATACGGGCCCCTACCCCAGTCCATTGGCGGAACTACGTTTTTGTGTGTTATACTCGATTTATATTCTAAGTATATAACTATGTACCCCTTGAAAAAAGCTACTACCCGCTCTATCTTGAACAGAATAACTTCTGATTATTTCGTTAAACATAATCGGGTAGAAAAAATTTTAACAGATCATGGGTCTCAATTCACCTCCAAACTATGGCCAGACACTCTAGCTAAATTTGAGGTGAAACCAATATATAGTTCTATCCGTCATCCCCAATCTAACCCTGTCGAGAGATATATGCGAGAATTATCCAGATTATTTCGAACTTATTGTTCGGAGAAACATACGCGATGGGCTGTAGAGGTTAGACGATTTGGCGATTTTCTAAATTCAGTCACGCACGAATCCACGGGATTTTCGCCCCGCGAATTACATTTCGGTGAAACGCCACTGTCTCTAACTCGCGGGGTTCTCGCTTATCCGGGACACGGTATCGGCGAAAAGAGTCAAGAACAAAAACTGCTTTTAGCTAAAGAAACCATGCAGGGCCGGGCTCATCGTAGATCTGTTGCTAGACCAGGAAGACCCTATCCTCAGTTCGACGTAGGAGAACTAGTTTTGGTTAGGGCTAATCCGATGTCCTCTAGTCTTACTCAGGAAGTAAAAAAATTTCTCCTTCTTTTTGAGGGGCCATTTGTAATAAAAAAACAACTTGGGCCTGTCACTTATGTCCTGTGTTTCCCTGATTCGGACAAGGAAAGAGGGACGTTCCATATTTCGCATTTGAAGCGTTATGTTAGACCGCCATAGAAAAAATATATGATATATTATAATATTTGTATTTTTTATATGACTAGTTGGGGGGCGAATGTAGCGAAATCTTATTATATAGTTACCTTTCTTGGGAATTCCGATTGGATACCTACTTATAGCAATAATGGATAGATGTCCGTGTCTGTCTGTCAACTACAAATAAATAATTATATTTTCAATGGTTTTTACTGTTTCGAACAAAAAAGACTTGCCCGGTTAAACATTCCAGCACTTTATACTTGGCTAACAAATGTCCGGCTGAAATTATTAGGTGCGTTGTGAATTCGAAAATTCTTCGTGCACATTACCTGTTTTAGGTGAGTACTTTTTGCAATTAATCCCCTGAATGATGTTTCATCATATTGATAGTTAGTAAAGGTGTTTTCGTTTTTTAGTCGGATCGTTGTTACCACCATACTCAACCCGTAGAGTGAATAAATTGTCGAGAGCCATTGACTTAAGTGTTATTTTTGTGTACGAAAATCTACCCACCCCGTTACAGTATGCCATGGTCAATAACAAGTGCTAAGTCATGACTATAAATCATCAAATTAGTGGTGGTTGACTTATGTTTGACAAATCCATCTCCTTACTACACGTATTTTGAATATTTTTCGAAACAAGGTGTTACTATTGATTGAATTTGTCTTCTAGGCCCTCTGATAGAAAAACTACGCAGAGACATATTGGGCAATTCATCTACTTCATACACGTATTTTGAACATTTTTCAAAACAAGGTGTCACTGACTATCGACTTCTAGGCCCTCTGATAGAAAAACTTTTGAACGTAGTGACATTTTAGGCAAATTATATCCTTAGTACACGAATTTTAGATATTTTTCAAAACGAGGTGTCACTGACTATCGATTGGATTTTTCTTCTAGGCCCTCTCTGATACAAAAACTTTTAAACGCAGTGACATATTGGTCAAATCATCTCCTTACTATAAACGTATTTTGAATATTTTTCAAAACAAAGTGTCACTGACTGTAGATTGAGTTTTTCTTATACTTAGGCCCTCTGATACAAAAACTTATAAACTCAGTGACATTGTGGGCAAATCATTTCCTTACTACACGTATTTTGAAATTTTTACGAGGTGTCACTGACTATCGATTGAATTTTTCTTCTAGGCTCTCTGATACAAAAACTTTCAAAAGCAGAGACATTTTGAGCAAATCATCTCCTTACTACACGTATTTTGGATATTTTTCAGAACGAGGTGTCACTGACTATCGATTGAATTCTTCTTCTAGGCTCTCTGATACAAAAACTTTCAAAAGCAGTGACATTTTGAGCAAATCATCTACTTACTACACGTATTTTCAATATTTTTCAAAACAAAGTGTCACTGACTGTAGATTGAGTTTTTCTTATACTTAGGCCCTCTGATACAAAAACTTATAAACTCAGTGACATTGTGGGCAAATCATTTCCTTACTACACGTATTTTGAAATTTTTTCCAAACGAGGTGTCACTGACTATCGATTGAATTTTTCTTCTAGGCTCTCTGATACAAAAACTTTCAAAAGCAGTGACATTGTGGGCAAATCATTTCCTTACTACACGTATTTTGAAATTTTTTCCAAACGAGGTGTCACTGACTATCGATTGAATTTTTCTTCTAGGCTCTCTGATACAAAAACTTTCAAAAGCAGTGACATTTTGAGCAAATCATCTACTTACTACACGTATTTTCAATATTTTTCAAAACAAGGTGTCACTGACTATCGATTGATTTTTTTTTCTAGGCCCTCTGATACAAAAACTTTTAAACGCAATGACATTTTGGGCAAATCATCTCCTTACTACACGTATTTTGGATATTTTTCAAAACGAGGTGTCACTGACTATCGATTGAATTTTTCTTCTAGGCCCTCTCTGATACAAAAACTTAAACGCAATGACATTTTGGGCAAATCATCTTCTCACTACACGTATTTTGTCAGTGTAACTTTTGATCCCAATAAAGCAATCTACTATTCATGAAGTCATACCTGTAGTAACCAAGAATTTGTTTGAGACTTGTAGCATTGAGGAATTGCTCAAAGTACTCATTGGCACGAGCAGCTTCCAGATTGGATACAGGTCGGCCATATTGAGCGCCTTGATTGGTGGTGTAGTCCATTTTTGTTAGCTGTGATGGTTGTCGAGAGGTTTAAACAGAATTCTGAAACAAAAAAAAAAGGATCAATCTCTCCTAGTTTTAGCCAATGAACTAACTTAATATAAACACTTTTTTTTCATGTTCTGGTTCCCACGAAAAGGAATATCCTTTAATGTTCAGAGAACATCGTGAGAACCAAGGGATATAAGGTAGGAATTGGTGTTCTTCTTGAATTTCTGGAGGTTATATGCCTCAGGGAACACCTTCCTTGGCAATGTGTTCCAGAGCCTCGCTGTTCGTTGGATGAACGAGTCTTTAGAAAGAGATGTTCTGCAGGTCTCCAAGGTGACCACGAAGGGGTGCGAAGCCTCAACTCGACGATCTCGCGGGGACTGCCAAGGGAGGTACAATTGTGTTGATATTTCAGAAGAACATCGTCTATGAATATATCTATCAAATAGAGTCAGATCGCCAACTTTTCTACGGTGTTCCAGAGAAGTGAGTGAGTTTGTGAGCGAAGCATCACCCACGAGACGAATTGCCCGTTTTTGGACAGAATCCAACAGTTTCAGGATATGTTTGGGTGCCGCACTCCAAATATGCGAACAGTTTTCCAGGACAGGTCGGATCTGTGCCTTATAGATCATAAGCAGCTGACTGGAAGTGAAAAAGCTCCTGGCCCGAAACAGAAAACCAAGTTTCAGGGATGCACTTTTAGCAATTGATCTCACGTGACTTTCCCAAGAAAGGTTATTGCTGATAGTTATCCCAAGCATCGAAATGGATGTCTTCAAAGGTATGGTTACTCCTGACAAGCTTATGTTGGGCACAATGAGATCGGCTTTTCTAGAGAAAAGGCATGCTTGTGTTTTGTTTGCATTGAAATCTACCAAGTTATTGGATCCCCATTCGAGAATTGTTGCCAAGTCTATATTTATGTTGTCAGCATTTCTCCCTCGTTCGTTTCTGATTTGCCTGGCTGGAATTGGAGCCCTGGAAGAGAAGGCGGTATGGAGGGTACTATCATCTGCGAAGATGTGTACTGGACATGAAGATGCTTCCAACAAATCGTTGATATGGAGTAGAAATAGTATTAGTGCTAGAATTGATCCTTGCGGAACATCAGCATTTATGATAAGAGAGTCAGATGAAACTCCGTTGACCACTACATGGAGAGATCTGTTTGAGAGAAAACTAGCTAGCAGAGAACATAGCTGGGGAGGCAAGGCATAAAATGGAAGCTTGGCGAGGAGTCCGTGGTGCCTGACTCGATCGAATGCCTTGGAGATGTCAAGTGCCACGGCTAAGGTTTCACCATATTTTTCAATAAATTGTTGCCATATATGTGAGACGTAAGCGAGCAGGTCACCAGTTGATCTCTGATGACGGAAGCCATACTGCCTATCGTTGATAATTCAATGATCGACGTGGTAAATAGCCAGGAAAGTAGTTGTTTTTTGTTGAATAAACCGAGAAAGAATTGATATATTCATCACATAGAGAATGCGAATTCTCAATGTATTTCTTTATATATATATATCCATTTTATGTTCAAAATTATATCTGAGAATATTCCTTTCCAATTGCAAAAGTTGATTTTTCCCATAGTTGGGAAAGTCATAGAAAACAATCAAGTTCAGCAGGTAGAGCGAGCACAAACGAACAGAACTATAATTTGATGTGTTTTTCAAATGTCTATAAGACACCAGAAGTTCATACAAAAATTGTCCTGCAAAACAAAATGACGGATGAAATCTCATAGACAATCTTAAGAAAGATATTATAACTCATTTCCTTATCAGATAAAAATGATATACCTACCAACATGGAAAGTAACAGTGAATGAAACGTTAACTGAAGTAATTAAATTATTACTTATTAAATTGTTTGGAGTGATACATAATATGCGTCAGTGTATAGGAACGAGTCGGACCTTGAGAAGCAAAGTTGTTTTATCAAAAGAAACTGTACATATTATAGTGCATACTTTAATAGTACAGATTCGATGTAATATTCCGTTTCCGCATTGACCATAACAAATTAGGTATAATATGATGCGGAATGGCTGGATATAATTAATGGAACACCTACTTGGAATTCACTTACAATAACTTGACTAAATTGAGAAACATTTTAATTGTGAAGTGATTGGGTATCATCCATTACAAATCAAATTTCTTTTCACCCAAAATGAAAATTAATAATTCCGCTAACCCAACCGTATACAAAGTGGGTCAGTGTTTTCAATCAAGGTATTTTAATTAAGTGCGGTACATTTTTTACTTGAATAATAATAATAAATACACCGATTAATAAAACTGACAGTAGTATTTATAAATTTAACAGACCTATAATTATGATAAAAATGTATAATTATATGTTTTATTCAATTTGATGCTTTTATTTGGATTGTTACATACAGGGAGAGTTTTTTTTATGTTAAGGAGATGGATTATGGAAACTGTAGAAGACGCGGAAAAAAAATTGGTGAACAACATTTTTTGTAAGCCCTAATTGAATTCAATTTCACGAAATTTGACAACTTTCAATAATACGTCAAGAAGTGATTTTTTGCTGATTTATAGTTGATGAATACCAAAGTTGATGGGAATTTTATTCTGAATGATGAATCACATGATTTGAAATTAATTTTTTCTACGGCTATAACACAAAATTGCTCTATACCTATATAGTGGAGTATACTACGGCCTTGCCAAAAATGCTATCTCGGAAACTAAGCGAGATAGAGGTATAGTTACTTTGGAGAAAATGATCCCCATCGAATTTTGAGCAACTTTGGTTTTTGTGTGTGGTCTATCTGTCTGTCTGTCTGTACTCTGTGGTAATCATAAATCGATATATCTCCGGGACCCTTTGACATATCCACTTGAAATTTCGCCGTCTTATTTTACTCAAAACAATATCATGTCATTAAAATATGAAGGAAATCGGAAAACTCTAAGGTGGTTTTTCCGGGTTTTTTCGATTTTTCACCAAAAGTTTCTTGTAACCACTCTACAAATCGCAAAAGTGGTCCGATCGATTTCATTTTTTGTGAAAAAAAACTCTATCAGGGAGAGACGAAGCCTATGGAAAAATCGAAAATTATCAGAAGTGCAAAGTTATCCACTGGAACATTTCCTACAAACTATTACCCATAACTTTTTCTGTAAACACAATAGTACAGGAAATAAAGTAAAAAATATGAGAAAAAAAATTTGAACGACCCATAGCGTAGTCGAGTGGGCTAAGTACGTAGTTTGTGGGAAAAATCTCCAGTTCTCTGAACTTCTATAGCGTCGTATACACATCTTTGGTGCCCAATGATAGTTTCAATGTAAAAATATGCTCATGATATGGTGCCATGGCCTCTACTTCCATCTTACATGAGCAATGATAAAATATCATCTGCTTTTATAGCGTCGTATAAATTATCTGACCTCTATACTAATCTAATACCTAATGAGAACTACATCTATACTAATCTGATACCTTTCAAAAACTACGTACCTCACTTGTTTTACTGTGTTCGATACATCAATGAGGTACTTTGTTTTATTTCCGTATCTGGTATCACAATGACTCCATTGTATTATTATTAAAAAAAAAAGCCCACGGAATGTCAAATTTCAAGCAATGACAGCGCTGTCTAATAGATAAGCATCACTTGACAGGAAATCAGATGGCTTCAAGACGAAGAAATCAAAAATGCCGCTGTTATCTATTATAGCCGTAGAAAAATTATAGTGCATAACTTGCACGGAATGCTAATTTCCTACTCGAGTGATAGCAGCATTCGCCTATGACTCATGCTGCAAACTTCATTCTCATAGGAAAACACTATCATTCCGTGCTCGTTAAACAATATACTAAATTCGTTACATCCGCATTTTTGACAAATGACAGATCTGACAAGTTAACACTAAATAATCCAAGAACATTCAATCAATCATACGATCTTTCTTTCTTATTCTTCTAATATTCCGTATAAGAATGTGAAATAAACACGGTTAGAATTAGATCATAAGCTAGCTTTCAATGGCCAAATCGATTCTGTTTGTAAAAGACTGAATGGATTATATTTTGCATTTACTACATTAAAATCTAATTTCCATGTACTATGGGCTGATATACCCTGTAATCAGCTGTAACATTATTGTATGGGGCAGAGCCACAGAAATCAATAGAATCTTCATCATTCAGAAAAGATTCATCAGACTTTTGTTCAATTTGGACTACAGAGAGTCTTGTAGGGACACATTCATTCAACACGGAATCCTAACACTTACTTCCATATATTTATATAAATTGCTAGTATACACTCATAAAAATGTAAACAGGTTGAACAAAAACAAAAATTACCATGAATATAATACAAGAAAGAGAAATGATCTTCGTCTAGATCAACCACACAGAAATCAGCATAAGAAATCACCACTTTATGCCGGATGCTATTTTTATAATCTGCAATCATGAATGAAAACAAATTCAAATCAGCTTTGAAAAAAATTTTAATCTGTCATGCATTCTATTCTTTGGACGAGTATACCCATCTTGCAGTTAGTGATTGAGATTTGAGATTGAAAAAAAAAACTATGTGTATTTTTAATATGTTTGTTCTTCTACTATAGTTTATAATATCAACGTAATTTTTTAATGTTTTTAAGTATATATGTACCATTTGTATCTTTTGACTTGTCTCATGTTGTGTAAATGACCTGAAGAGATTAAACTATCTATCTATCTATCTATCTATCTATCTATCTATCACGTAACCCGTTCGTTAAAAGTATTCGATCTTCCATATGAATAAAATTCTGAAAATTTGGAACAAAATATGAGTAAAAAAAAACAATCGATGTGAAATATCGTCAGAAGCCTAGCACTCTCGGAAAATCCTTATTTCAAAAAATGGAACACCCTCTATCTAATTTTATATTAGAAATTACGAATAGGTACGTATTATCTATTGAAAAAAAATCGTATACATGATGATGTTTGAACTGACATTGAGAATTTCA